ATAGTTAGTTTGCTTGTCACATCAATTTTACTGCTGCATCACGAATGGATCAGCAGGACAAGGAAAAAACAACGCTCTTACGGGACACACTGTAAAATAGCAACACACTGCTGTGTTGAGTATTGTAAGTGTAGAAATCTGGAGAACTATTTTTATGGAATAGCGCCATGTTGAGTGAGTCCCCTTTTCTGTCTAACGTCACTAATGAAATTAGATTATTTTCTAGTTCATTTTTTTAATTATTGTTTTTATTTTATGTACTAAAACTGTGTAGGTGTTGTCTATTGTCTATGTTTATTGTGTATCAGCAGGTGGTCTTTTTTTTCTTTATAAAATAACAGTGACAAACTAGTACATAGTCTATCTGATAGTAAGTGGATGCTGTGGCCCACAGACATCTACATTTATCCTCGATTAAGAATCAAAACGCAGATGCGTTGTTACCCCTGAGGACTAAGAAAGATTGTCTCATTTCCAGTAAAAAGGGTCTCCGGGTCTCTACACTCACCATACGAAACACATCAGTATTAAGCTGGTATTTTACGCAAGTATTCTGTAAGAGCGTCGTTCTTCCCCGGTCGGCTTGACCGTAGCGGCAGCGTGGCACTACCGCGTATAAAAATGGACGTCAAAATATGATAAAGATAACAAAACAAATGCACAGATAAAAACAAAACGAAATTCGTTTAATATTTTATTATAAAAAAGAAAAAGAAACATTTATTATTATTACAATAGGAAAAACAAATCAATACACCAGTATAATTACGTACAGTCGGCAAAGTCAACTTAAATTAAATTGTTATTCATAAACAATAAAGTAAGTAAGTTATAAGTAGTACTAAAACTCTCTCAACGTAGTTATTGTGCGGACTGTACTAACAAAACATAATTAAAATAAATGCTTAAATAGAACATTTTATAACACAATTACTAAATTTTGAGAAACGTAGAGAAATGTACAGGCATCGACCTTAATGCAACACGCAGATTGACAATCTTGTGACAAATTTTGCGACTTAATTTTTCCTTAATTTTTTCCATATTAATCTTGCCTGGTTCCTATGTTTTATAAGCGTTTTTACTTACGACAAGTTTTTCAGAAATAAGGATTGCATGAATTACAACTTATAAAACAAAAACTAGTGCTTTACGAACAGCTCACAGTTGTTTGTAGAAGTTAAGGGCTAACTGGGTTATAGCCCAGAGCAGTAGAATTTCGAGGGTGGCAAAAGATTTGTTTTACCATACCCAAAATATATAACGGTAGCCAAGGCCAAAAGGAAAGCCAACTTCAAGAGCCCACGGCGGCTTTAAACTTAAATACGCCCCTGGTTGTTTTCATTTGAAGCCGCTTAATTTACCGAACGAACGGTTTCTCAAGTAGGCACTTAGTATATACTCGTAATAAAATGGATCGTACGGAGTACGGGACGTATATTTAATATAGAAAACAAGTATTAGAGACAACGTTTATATTGCAAGGGCAAGTGAAATGCGTTTTATTTCACAAGTTGAAACCTAAAAGGCATATTCAGAATAAGAGGAATTATTTTGCCAGTACGAATATAATACAAAATTATTAAATATGCTAGCTTTGTTTGTAATAACTATTGCCATCTATAAATAAATAAGAAAGTTTTAAAAACGTGTTCGTTTAAAATATTTCACATTCGCAATAGACCACAATCATACTTCTAATAAGCTTGGATAACGGAAGCTTTCCCTTTACATGGAGGAGGGCCTGTAATTGTGCTTTATAGGATACTTATAAAATATGTCCGTTTTAGGGATTAAGGCATTAATACATTATTCATAAATTCTAAAGCAGATCTGGATTCTGCATGTGACATATGAATAGAAGGAACTATAAGAAGAACTTAAAAAGTAGGGTCTGCGTAGCAAAACTAAAATTGCAAAAATTATACATTTAAATAGATTTAAAAAATAATATACTTCATAAAAATTGTAACTAGCAGTTTAAATATTTTTGTTTATGGAGGACTACTGAAAAGCCTTCCTAATATATTATAGATAAGGAGAGGCCTATAAATTGGATCTAACTTTTTACTTTACATTATATACTCGTAGGTCTTTTAGATGTAACTTTTTACTTTACGTTATATAGGTCCACTGAATAATTGTTACCTAATATAAAAATGAAGTATGTATCCTTATTTTAACATAACTGATACGTTACAATAGTGGTTACAAGTTGATAAATACAAAATCTACAACACAAACTTTCATTACTAATTTGTAACAACGCCAATGTAAAGTCAGCATAAAATTACAATGTTATCATATGATGTATCGTTGAGGTAAAGGAAATAGGTGTTGATACATGTATAATATAACCACCGTGCATTTACAAATATTCGCATATAATAGATACCTTATAAATAACAATTTGTCCCACAGACCTTACAATGTGCACACCAAACAGGTTACGGCAAAGTAAAAGACTTTGATGTAATAAGATTCTAAAATGTAGATAAGTTGTTTTGGTACAAAAATACTCCTATATTATATATACCAATACAGAACATGCTTAAGACGAATACTTAATTAAATATAATAAATAACTTTTCAACGTTTTTCATGACTCGATTCTTACAATTTACCATTGGCAAGCGTTTTGGAATATACAAACGATTTAATTACAATATGCAAAGTTTCGTTTCGGTAACATATGTAAATTTAGTTTGATTAAATACAACATTACAAAGGAGATTATTATTAAAATGGTGTTTACGATATTTCTAATATTGCCATACATCGAAGTACTTTGGTAGATAAAATTAAGAACAAGAAAATCATCAAATTTTCAAAAATTAAGTAATACTTCATCACCAACATGTATCTGTAACAAAAAACATATATAAAAGTATGTATAAATTGTTTTTTTTTTTTTACTTTTTATAAGCCAATAGTTGACCACAATCCCAGCTGGTGGTAAGTGGTGATGCAGCCTTAAATGGTAAATCGCACTATCTTAGCGCAACAAAAGCCTATACACTCTTGCCTTGAAGACGTCCAGAATGTATTCGGATGGAGAGATAGACGCCGGAAAATTATTCCACTTTAAAAAAAGTTTAAGTAAACCGTTTGTTTCTAATGCGTCGAATATTAAAAACAAAGTGTTGAAGACCCGCCGATCGGCTGGTCGTCCGATGGTGGAAAGGAGAGGGAGGAATTAAAGCGTGCAATTCCTGCGCACACTCTCCGAAGGGCATCTTATATAATACCGAGAGGCTGGCTACTCTGCGCCTGTGCTGGAGGCTGACAAAGTATTATCAGCTTTGAAAGTTAGTCTGTGAAAGTAGAGGTTAGTCAGGAGGAACCAAGTGCAAGCAAGGTCGGCATTGAGAGAATTTTGCTATTACACTCTGACGAGCCACATATGCTTAATTCGTCATCCTTCCTTCATTCCCATCCTTTCATTTATAACAGCCTATCAAAGTCCACTACTGAACATTGGCATCCCACATGGATTGCTTCATGTTGTGAATATTTGTCAGATTGGTTACCGCAGTTGTTGCGTCTTACGACACCCACGGGATGGTATGGGAAAATTATTCATATATATTTTTTTAATAGAATAAGGGTAACAAACTAGCACACAGTCCACCTGATGGTAAGTAGATGCTGTGACCCATAGATATCTACATATATCCTCGATTAACGATCAAAACGCAGATGCGTTGTCACCCCTGAGGACTAAGATAGAATGCCTCGTTTCCAATAAAAAAGAGTCTGCGGACTATGGTGAGTGTAGAGAATACTCACCATACGAAACACAGCAGTATTAAGCTGCTATTTTACGCTGGTATTCTGTGAGAGCGTGGTCCTTCCCCGGTCGAGCCGACCCATTGCTACAGCCATAATATAGCTACACCGTGGCTTTACCACGTACCAAATATATATGTTCACCTGCCATTATCAAAAAATCGACAGGATTATTGATGCAAATCCTCTTTATCATGGAAGAAGCCCTGGTCTAGCCGTGGTAACTGTTCACTGGTAGTGATAATGTACTCGAGTTTCTGCCCAGGATAGGATTATAGTGCATGAGTGTGTACAAAAACACAGATGCACTCTTCATTCCATCACTCTCATAATATAGGAGGGAAATCAAATGCAGTATCCACGGCTTAACGTTCTTTCTGAGGTATTTAAATGCCATTCCGGGCTACTATTGAAAATAATTACTTGACTAAACCCAATAACTTATATAACTTTTATTGGCCATACCAGGGACTCGAACTCGGGACCAACAAGGCATTCTGTTTACTATTTTTTTATTTATTTATTTAATCTTAGTGACTGCCTGAGGACTAAATACCATATAGCATTAATAAAATAAAATAACACGACACAAATAAAAATTATCACATATAAAGCGAAAGATAGAGGAAAACAAAAGTCAGCTAAATCAGGTGGAATCATGGTGGAAATATTATGATAGAATTCTCAAACTCGTTTCTCAGAATTATTGTTATTAGTTTTCTTGATATCAATAGGTAGGGCATTCCGGAACAGTATGGACGCAGAGAAAAATTGAAATTAATGAAACCACTTTTATGTGGTAAAATACGAATTTTAAAACTAATTTGTGAACCAGGAACACTATCGCGAGTATACAAATACTGAAAGTTATCCTTAAAAATAAAGGAGAATTTTGGTCATTTTCATTGACAAATATAAAGCCATAATTTTAGGTTCGAACGTACTCGGATTATGTACAAGTTTTTTTTAATACAATTTTAAAAATGAGAAGTTAAATACAACAGGAATAATATAGAACAGTAAGTGATTTTCTCATAATATCTGCTACTGTTATGCCTCTGACTGGTGAAGAAACATCGAGAGAAACTCCGAAGGTTTCCTTTTGTGTCATTTTTTAAGTAAATATTACAACAGCCTAATCTATAAAGAATGTAAAACAAAAAATATCAATGAAGAAGTAATATGGCAAACCTATAGTGCTCCAGATATGGTCACTTCCTATCCCCAGTGCTGAGGTCTTGTAGTTCACTGCTGTCATCGCTGGAGGCCGAGACCGGACAGCCGTTCGTGGTAGAGTTGCCGGCCGCCGCCATTGCCATCGACAGTGGGATGGTGATGAACTGCGGCTGCGTTGAAGATGAAGCTACGAAAGGACAGATAATTATTTTAATTGAATACGAATAAAAATATAAAAAATCGTTATTTTAATTTAATGGCATAGTGGCGGTTTAAGGATATCCACCATCCGGTATCGTCCCGTGGGTGTCGTAAGCGACGACAGAAAGAAACTGAAATAAGAGCAGCCGCATTTTTCTGATATCAACTCGAAATTATAAAAAACTGCAGGTGCCAACTTATCTGCCAAACCTGGCAACTGTGACAAAATTATCCCCTAAGAGCCAATCTATGGAGCACCCTGTGTTCAGCAGTAAGCGGTTTTAGACTATACCGTAGAAATATTATAATTAAGAAAAATGCAACTTTAAGTTGATAAAACAAAAGTTCACGTTTTTACGTCCCACCACTAGGATCAGACCTCCTCTCTTTTCTGAGAAGATTATAATTTGTAAAGCATTATTAAATTAACTAATAATAATAAATAAGGCGTTACTTTGCGAAAATTAATTATATTAAGGATTTTAAAAATTAATCAGCCAAGATCCGTGTTATATAACTTAAATTAAATGTTTTAAAAACACCCGCAGTTAAGGGGCTGATGATTTTCAAACTGCTTAACAGATTTTCTTGAAACATAGCTAAGAACACTCTCTATTAAGACACCTTTCAAACTTAACAAATCGGTTCATCTACTACAATAAGTACTATACTACAAACGTAGTACAACACCCCTCAGTTTTCGTTGGGGGTTAAAAAGTTTACGTTTTTACAAACCGCCGGCTCTCAATTTTAGGAGAATTATAAAGCGTTATTAAAATAATTAATAGAATCTGGCGTTGCTTTACGGAAATCCATTATACAATACAATACAATAATAAAATGCAATAATACAATACATACATAAAATGTATGTGTCTAAAAATGCGGGTAGGTACAAAACACTCTGTTGCTGTTAATTTTATATATGTTATGATTTTACGATTGCTATTGTATGATGTTGGCGGAAATAATATTAAAGTTTCCATATGGTATAATTCAATATGTTGTATATCTTTGAATCTGTGTCCGTCCATCTGTGGTATCGTAGTAACCGAATGGATGAACTAATTTTGATTTAGTTTTCTTCACTTGAGAGTTGACTTGATCGAATATGTTATTATTCAAAGTGCTATGATTCAAGAAAATAACTTCAGCCGTTTGAAGATCATCAACTCTTTTCAATTATTTCGAGTTTTTTTATATTTAATTAACATCTTTCATGATAAAGCAGTTCCGCCGCACTGCTTCAGTGCGAGTTGTCAGACTTCACAAGTTCTCGAAATATTACCCAGACATGAAGATTCTTTAACATGTTTTCCTTCACCGACTAGCATGTGATAAATCAGCACTTAAAATTGGTTTGTAAGTAACGTTATATTAAACAATTTTTTTTAATCTTACTATTGTAATTCATATACAAAAAAATAACTCACCGCCTTCTTGTCCTTGATTGGCAAGCCCTAAAATGAAACTATGAGGGTAACCCATCGCCAAATTGCTTAGTCCAAGATTAGTGCCCAGGCCATCTAAGCCGACTCCGGCCAAGACGCCCGAGTGATACAGCATCGCTCCACCGGGTAGATTGATCTTTGGCAGAATTTTTGGCAGGGAGGGTTGACTTGACTTGCTGCTTTCTGGTTCTTGGCTAGTCGAGGACGTGGAAGGTACGTTGTCGTTTTGAGGTTCTCTGTGAAAGTGAAAGAAAGAATAAGTCATGTAGCGGCGTAAGCAAATCCAACACCTTTGGCGATCGTATGAGGTGGCTATGGGAAATACTAAAAAAGATCTCATGAGTTCCGTTAGATCCCCGGCATAATATCCTCCAAACCGAATTTCGGTCACGGCGGCCTGCCTCAACGGAGACTAGCCATCAGGGCAGAAGAGGATTATAATTCCCAAGTGTACACTCTACTATTCCCTCACTCTCATAATCCGAAGGGACGGTAAACCGACACGACCGGAGAGAGATCAGGCGCACGACCAACGGCTTAACGTGATTTCCGAGGCACGGGGTTGAAACACCGCCAACTTCCTGACTCCGGGCAGCTACTGAGAATTTCTTGACGGAAAAACTCAATTATTATTTTTTTTACCTTACCCGGGATTCGAACCAACGAGGCAGACAATCCCCGGCATATCAACTTTACGTAAATCCTATATACCTGGACCGACGAAGAGCAGTGGCAACAAAGATTTGGGTTATTGAACATTTTTTGTAAGAATAAGGGTGACAAACGAGCACACAGTTATAAGAGCACGCATGGTAAGTGAGTGCTGTGGTCCATAGACATCCACATTTATCCTCAATCAAGAATCAAAATGCAAATGCGTTTTCTCCCCTGAGGGATGTCTTGCCTGTAAAAAGGGCCTCCGATTCTCTACACTTATCATACGAAACACAGCAGCATCAATCTACTATAGTTACTGGAAACGAGGTATTCCGTCTTAGACCTCAGGGCTAACAACGCAATATTTAGATGTCTATGGCTCAAGGGTCACCCCAACCACAACTTAACCTGACGTCGTTCGTTGGTATTTTTGACAGTTTTAACAATACGCCTAGGTACCTAACACACACTTTTAGTCTTAATTAATATACAAATCAGTTTTATAGTTTTAATTCAACTCCTTGTCTTCTTTATCGACTCCTTGCACGCCACGTCAGGTCTTTCCTCCACCTAGTCGCCCTACACTAGTTTAGGTAGATTTCCACTGGAGAGATTGTTGATCATCATTTTTGGTTTTTAAAACAAATTGATCGGTCGATTGCTACTTCTTACTGATCCGTTGGACTTTGTCTACTTATATCTTCTTCTTTATCTACCAGTAAAAGGCTACAACTGGACATGAGTCTCTCACATTGTACTGATCCTCAATCGTCACGGCAGGCCGATACGCGATCTCAGTAGCAGTCGTTATTCTCATTTGTCGCTTATGTCCGTGCATCCTATTTTATGTCTGGCATAAATTAGATGATTATACCACCACTAATTGGAAGATATCAGATTTAAGTTAAAGTAAAGTTACAGCCTACATACGTCCCACTGCTGGGCACAGGCCTCCCCTTATTACTGAGAGGATTTTAGGGCAAGGAAGTGTCCGCCACGCTGCCCCAATGCGTGTTGGTGAACTTCACATGTCTTCGAAATATTTTTTTTCTTATACCTCAGACATGCAGGTTTCCTCACGATGTTTTCCTTCACAGCCGAGCACGTGGTAAATCAGCACTTTAAATTGCAATTAACAATTTCAAAATCAATATTTACAGCGAGCGTTAACCATTTGAGCTACCACGGCTCAGATATCAGATTGTTTCTGGCATTTTCCATACTAAAAGGAGACCTTTTACTATTCTATTTTCACCGTGTAGTGGCAGTGTAAGGATATTTACTACCCCATATTGTCTGATGGGTGTCGTAAGAGGCGACAGAAGGAAACTGAAATAGGTGATGGGGCAGCAGTACCTTTCTGATAACAACACAAAATAATAAAAACTGCGGTTGCCAACCCTACCCAAGGAAGAAAGCCTATTTCAGCACTGGACTTTTATGGTCTGTAATTGATGGATGATGGATCTTTTGCAACACCCACGGGACAAAACGTAGTGATATATTTCTTTAAGGCTCGCGTTTAAATCTGCGCCCGTTACTCTGGTTCTACATCCTTTTTCGATACTAGCAGAATATCCTGGAAAATTACCTAGTATTGCTCCGGTCTACGTTGTCGCTGCATACCCACTCCTGATGGTGGCTCTTCTTCTCGCTTGGCGACTCGGGTTCACTGCCGCTCTCGTCCCCGCTGTCGCCCGATGACGCCGGTTCGTCCTAAGAAAAAAAAGGTGTTACTTATTACTAATTGTCATTAAAATGAAAATTCCTATGAATGGAACGCATCAGTGTAAAAAGTACCTTGCTATCATACTTGAGTCCTAGGTTCAAAGACGAGTCCGGCCGAAGACAATACAAACATCACAAACGATTGGTTCATGTAATCAGTTCGCTTCCACGTCCCTAAAGCTTTCTTCTTCTTTATTCTTCTCTAGTGGCTCATAAAATATTACAGTAAGCATATACCTCTCCCGCTTTAGAGTGGATTTTGCCTTAAAAGCCACGCTTGGTAGAAAAATTAGAGATGCTGCAGCTATATTAATATAGTCGTAGCACGAGTGGGTGGGTTCGACCGGGGGAGGACCACGCTCTCACAGAATAAAAGTTACAGCCTGTACACGTCCCACTGCTAGGCACAGGCCTCCTTCCATTTCAGGTAGGCTCTCACAAAATGCCAGCGTAAAATAGCAGCGTAATACTGCTGTGTTTCGTATGGCGAGTGTAGAGAACCGGAGACCCTTTTTACTGGAAACGAGCCATTCCACTATAGACCTCACGGGAGACAATGCCTCTGCAATTTGATTCCTAATTGAGAGAAGATGTAGATGTCTATGGGCCACAGCAACCACTTACCATCAGGTGGGCTTTGTGCTCGTTTGTCACCCTTAGCCTATATAAAAATGCATCTGACAACTTAACTGTGCTCCCCGTGTCGGTCTGGGTATTTTAATGAAACTAATTCCGCTGACTTGTACTGCCGAACATCAACCACCCACATAGATCGCTTCATAGTGGATACTGGCCGTAGTTGCCAAGCTCACGCAGTTTTTTGTTGTTGTTCTTTTGTTGTTATCAGGAATATTCTGCTGGCAATCCTGTTTTATTTCTTCCTATCGCTTCTTACGACACCAAAATGTAAAAGCGGTAGCTGAGGCAAATAGTTTTTCAATGCTTCGCCAGTTTAAAAAAAAAGTAATGTAGATATTTAATTAATTTAACACACAAATGAGATGTTTCATTGGCAACAGAAAAATATGTGTATGTAATTGTTGATCGAAATATGTAAATGTCATTTCTGCTAATTTTTCTAAACAAGCAAGGTTTGTTTTTTAGTTTACACTCCTTTTGTACAAACTTTATTGGACTTCATATACATTAATAAAATTAAATTATAGTACTTTTAACACTTAGCTATATCCATTTTATTATTAATTATATTAGCAATAATTTTCTAAAACTATTACATGTTAATTCATTTGAAAATAACTACCTATGTAACTTCGTGACATAAAGCTAACGATTTCTACGGAAACGAAAGTCTCTGTGTCTAGTACTCCGTATGATTTTTATGAAACTTGACGCTGGCAGAATCCATAGGAAGTTGCCAAATTAGGAAAAAAACAACTGTTATAGATTATTTCAATTTCGATTTGTACAGTACTATGTACAAGTGTTCAAAGTCTATTTCATTTCTCTGACTTGCAAATTTCACGTAGTTTTCTTCAATAGCCAAGCATTTAGTGTCGATAGGGATCGAACTCTGAAACCTTAGTACCTTACTTTTTACTTTACTTTTTTTTTGAAACCAATCTTTTACCTATAGGTATAAGTAACTTAAGGAATATATTAATTTATTTTAATTTTTAAATCACTTACGTAAGAAACATAAAAACTATACCTATAAAACCCGTTACGTTTATAGCTAAAACGCAATTAAGGAAACAATATTCTACCAGGAAATCATAACTGAGGAGGACACGCATAAAAAAGGTTATCTTACATGACGAATCGAGTGGACTCATCACGATTGGATCGTGCCCAGGCTTATTTTTATTGGACGTAAGTCAATTTTTTACTTATAACAATGATTGTAGATTATTAATAAGTCACAATATAAGTCTAATTACTCGTTTGCCCCATCCCCTATAAATAAATAAATAAAACAACGAATAAATCCGTATCATTAGTTTCATTGTCTTCGCTGTATTCGCGTTGATATAAGAATTCATTATGTCGACGAACAGACAACGGATAGTAAAGTAAGGTTCTCAAGTGTCAGCCTCGTGCCGGTAAGTGAATATACATATACATGTTGGCCGACCGAAGGCGAGTACTAACGTATAGACACCCCATTGGTCTAACCTCGCCATTACTCGTCGACGCTCGCCTAGCTGGCCGAGTGCAGGCGAGCGCCAACGTGTATACGGTTCGTTTGGCGAGCCTTGCCGCCACTCGGGATCGCTCGCTACGGCTCGTTCACTTCGGAACGGTGTCGGTTTTTCTGCACAAATCAAAGGCGCTCGCTTATGCTCGGCAAGTCGTGTCCACATGTTGACGGCCATGTCAGGTGTCCGTCCCGGTCATATATTGTTTAATTAAATTGCAACTTTAAAATCCTATATAAAAAAAGTACTCTGTGTTTAAATATGTAATTTCGACAATGTCACTGTACTAACGAGGACACCTTTAAGTTTTTGGAAATATACAAAAATGAACCCGTTATTTGGAACCCCAAAGACTTTACTACGGAGTACACTGATATGATATAATAATTATATGCACTCATTAAATAAATTGCAGATGCGGCAATAATTTTTACGTCGTCCATATCTTCCCAATTCTCAATGACAATTAATTAAGGCCAACATGAAGATAGCTCCACAAAAACTCGTGAACATTGGCCTTGGAATTGGTCTCTTTCGAACTTGACCAACGTGTAGACTGTAGCACTCGCCTTGTATAAATTTGCCTACGCTCGCGTTGGCTGAGGCTTGGCCAACGTGTATTGCCGGCGTTAGATGTAATGACCTAGTAAACAGGATATCGACGGATGCAGGTGGTGTCAGGTATCAGGTGACAGGAGACATTTCTTCTGCAGTATACTTATGATGGACTGTAATAATGATAATGTACAAGTATATGATTTTAGAACAAAAACCCCAAAAAATATACAAGGTTTTCTTATTACCAAGTTTAAATATTTTATGAAAACACTGTACAAAAAGAGTTATAATAATATAAATGAGTACATGGTTGATAATAACCCCTTGAAATTAGATGATCGTTTCCAAACTGCTTCTTAAATAAGTTTTGTAAGAACTTTTATACAATCTGTGTTTTAATATTGAAAAATGTCGCTTTGGTTTTTTCCCGTTCTCCTCAGGACAGAATTTTTTCCGAACCAGTGGTACTAGCAAAAGTAAAAAAGAACTTTCAATAAGAATTACTTGTAATCTATATTGAATTAAATTATTCTATTCTGTCTTAATGATTGTAAATAAAAAAAAAACTGTTTTAAAAGTAATTTGGTTTATTAATCATTCTTAAACCTTAATCCGGGCTTATGATCGTAAATTCCCTTCAGAAGCCTTGAGATTAAGTAAGAATGTAAAATAAAAGAAATTATAAAATATCAGTGCCATATGCTTCTCTTCCGTTGAGCTGTTGCACCCTATTTATTTCCAGACGGTAAAAAAATCACCCAGTATATTTGCCCTTTTCTTTAATTTTTACTTTTTCTTCTATTTCCATTAAACTTAATCATGTTGTGACAACCTGTAATTTGTAGTTCAATATTGTAAGTACTGTAGGATGTCCTTTTAAAATAAATATATTAATAAAGAATAAACTGCTTATTTTGGCAAAAATCCCTGACTGTACATTGTTATTTAAAAAGCACGTGTGCATCTTGGGACTATAAGCAATTCATGGATGTGTCGGTTTTGTTCCATAATGGAAGAAACATATCTGCACATCCTAACTTATAGTTGATCTCATCTAGGAAACTATGTAACAGAAGAAGTGAAATTGCTCACAGCTAAGCAACTCCTTCAATTTACTGAAGATTAGCAGTGAACCATAACAGCGATCACAGTAAACATTACAAAGTCGCATTGGTGCTGGTTTGCTTAGACTTGTATAGCTGATCGCACAATTAAAAAAATGGTTTATTACTAAATTTTACTAATAAATATCAGCAAAACAATGAACTTGGACTGACACTTATAACCCGCAGAGGTACATTAAAAAGCTATTATTGCGTAGTCGAGAACAATTGAGCTTCTGTACCAAATAATACGAATCGGAGCTTATTTAAAGTACTTAATCTATTACATTGTAAATAGAATCTGTTATTTTGTTAATAGATTGTTATTTTGTTAAAATGTAGTATACAAAGGGTTGAACAATGCCGCTTCAGTTAAATTTAAGAGACAAAAGCACAAGTTGATTATAATAACCATCTTATCGGAAGTACGTAGTACTATTATCTTGTACTATTATCTATTCTGTGTCGGAAGGTTATACCATCTTATCGGAAGCTGTATAATTTTTGACACTTCCCATAATCGCCTCTTCAGATAATGATAAAGCAAAATTGGGTGATAAATTATTCATTGATTCTCCTAACGCCGCTACCACAAAAGGCGTAAGGAGAATCGACTATTTTAAGCACAACACAACTAAACATTAAAGAAGTGCTTATTTGTTTACAAAATATATGTATGAGTACTCAGTAGAATAAAATAGACTAGAATAGAATAGAACAAAACGAAACGGAAAGAAATGGAACGGAACGGATTGAAATGAAATACTTATAATAGTTTTTATTCAATATAGATTGCAGTTCGTAAAAAAGTTATTTTTTATTTATACCACTGCTAACACCCTCTCGTTCTAGCCTACCATACAGTATAATATATATTATAATAAAATGTAATTTATAGCCTTGAATTTGATTTAACAACACAGCTTGGTTCGGCTTTAAGGAGATTGCAACACATCTCGTCTCGCATCCCATGAAACTTCAAAACAAGTGAACAGCCATTGCGTATTGTTAGTGGTGACATATGAGACGCAGTACTTTTTTGCTGGACGTATGAAGAAGCTTAAGGTGATTCAGCAACCTTTATGCTCGGAATATCTCTGCGTGATATAATTAGTAATGATCCGCAGTAGAATCAGAGTACCCTGAGTTGCCCAACGGATTATCTAGTTAAAGTAGTAATGGGTTAGTAATTTAGTTCGAAAACCTGAAAATTAATTGGGAAGAAAGGTTTTTGGTCTGGTACCGGTAAGCGAAGTTTGGGGCGGCCCTCTGCTGGAGTGACGACAAGTCGTGCATTAAACCGATGAATGCAAGTG